GCTCAATACTCTCTGGTATACAACAGACCAGTTATAATGTGGGCAAATAATGCAACAGCATTTTTCTGTAACCATGACAGTCAAGATTACTGCTGCAAAAAAGCAATGTCTTAAATATGTCATTTGTTAAGTCACAAAGGTCTTTGTTTATATAATTAAAAACTGAACAACTGGCTGCCATAAGAGCTTTTCTTTAAAAACGGATGTTTTACTTCACGTACATGGATATAGTATCTTATTAGTTTTAAACAGATTTTGTTGACTGTTAGTTTTCATTACCAATTTTTATTAATTCTCCATATTTGGGATGATAGTAGATTAGGACCTAAGAGGGAAACTGGCTGGTTTGGTTTAGATTATTCTAATTCTGATTAACATATGTGTACTTGACTTCACAAACTAAGAACATTTTTTTCCCCCAAGCATTTTTGTCATTGTTGATTCATGAACTAGGAGGCTTGCAGTGGTTCAGATGAATGTAATGTCTTCTTCTTTTGAAGTGATGACAATATGTTGTCCAGAAGACCTTGGAAACATTAACTGTTGTTTATTCTATGTCCATTTTTGGATAATGGCTCTCGCTATGCCTTAGTGGAGTCTGAAGTTCTTGGAAAGGGCTTAATAAGATTCCCAACACAAGATCTTTCAGCCTTCTTCATGTTGTCAGACAGGTGCTGTCGAAATGACTTCATAATTGTACAGGCCATGCAGTAATTACAGTAAACCAATGCCTAAAACACAGTTAATTACAGGTAATTCATGATTGAACAAGGGATGCTATCCTTTTTCTGCATAGGATTTCCATGAACAGCTTTTAAATCTGTAGTAATTTAAAGCCACTGTTTAAATTACAATTTTGATGTTTTGTATAACTTCATTATTTTTTGTGGAATATTAACATTTACCTGGAAAAACAAAAAATATATATATTTTATGGGATTTATTATTTTTTATGCTCTGTAAACTTCATTCAGTTTTTTTAAATGTCCGCTACAGTAAAAAAAAAAAAAAAAAAAAAACGTCCCCCTTGTTTTCTTCATCTAACTGCAGACCACTTCAGTCCGAGTAACTCTTACTCTCCTTTGCCCGTTTCCTTCAAAAACTGGACTTTTTAGGAAAACTGCACAAGCACCACATCATTTTAGGGGAAATATTTTAAGTAATTATGGGTAAGATGCCAGTTGATGAAAACATCATGGCTGAACTTCAACTTACTGAGTGGCGTGAAAAGTGGTGTGCATGCAGAGAAAAATACAGAGGATTTCCTTTCTCTGCAGTTTGAAAAAAAGTATTATAACTATTATATATTAGAGTGACTTTGTGTATTTTGTTTGTGTGCAAATCATGTCTTTTGGTATTTTTATTTAGGAGTACCTGTAGTAGAGAGTCCAAAGGAACTGTGTAATACGTTGTTGGAGAATTAGCACCAAACGTACCAGTAATATTATTAAAATGTCAACATTATTTTTTGCAATGTATTCATTTTCTATGAGGAAACAGTTTGTGATCTTGGGGACTATGAGTTATTTTCTGTAAAGTAGAAACAACAACGATACTAAATATCATTTAAAGCCTCGGCTTGAAATTCTCCTGTTAAAGCGGTGGTATTGTTTCTGCTGCAGGATCTGCTCACATGGAGCGTAACCTCTGATTTATTGACTGTGAGATGAGATCTGATGCATTTAAGTTTAAACAGCAAACCTAGCTGTAAATACTTCACAGAAGCCTTTAGAGTAAAATCAGATGGACCTCTAATTCACTGCTTACATGACCATCACTGACAAGGAAGCCCACCTTTGTGACTCCGCCCTCACCAGCTCAGAAACCTCTTCCCATCATAAGAACACAACATCATGTAGGCCATAAAGTTGAGGAGATGGTCCTTCACTAGCCTACTCAATTTCATATGTATAATTTGAATTGTAGAGATGTGCGCTGCAGAGCCACACCTTTCATGCACAATCAGAGCTTTAACAGGGTTCAGATGGACGCCTGTTTTCATTTGACAGTCAGGCCATCTGTATGCAATCTGGGCTCCTTACCCATCCCCTTTTCTTCCAAACCCTTCCATCTTTCTTTCTTCCTTTCTTTCCTTTCCTTTCCACCCCCACCACCAACATTTCTGACTGATGAACAAGCAGTACACTTTACTGGGCAGTTTTGGCATGATTGCAGAACAGATGAGGATGTTTAAGGCTTGCTTTAATGTAGTATAATATGTATTATGAGACCAGATGCGGTGTGAACATACATTATTCATATTTATTTGACTTGGTCCCATTTGGTCACGTTCAAAGAATCTTCTCAGGAGCTCAGCTTATCTTTCCTCTGAGGTTTGTTACAGAACATTACTGGATTAATAGCAAGACCTGGGTGTTCTCCTAAACTGGCTGGATGGGAAACTGGCAAAAAGAAGCAATTACTGAAGGAAATTGCAGAAGGAAAGACATAAAGGCTAAATTTAAAGATTGCTTTAAACTATGCAAAGTGCTGGCAAGGGTTTTAGTAATAGCCTAGTAAATTAGCCCCACCCACCAGCGGCCAAAATAATTTTTGCCTGCGAGTGGTCTAGCCTCGATCAATGGCCCAGGCCCTAGAACTGGCGGGCCAATTACAACGCAGACATGTTTTTTGAATTTTTGGATCCAAAGCAGGCGGTTTTTGAGGGCGTGACGACAAAGCTGTGTGACGCTGGAGGAAGAACAACAAGGAAGATGGCAACTACCATTGAACAATTCTTGTTTGACTCAGCTGGAACCAGTTTAGGAAGGATTAGACTTGGGGTTTTTGCTGAAACGAGAGCAGGAAGAGGCGCTACGCTCATTCATTTTTGAGAAGGACATATTATCTGTTTAACTGACAGGCTGTTTGTTTACACTCCCCCACCAGCTTCCTGTCATACGTCCTAAGTCACAGTCAGTGGCACTCATTGGTCAGAGCGTTGGCCAAAAGGCACGAAAGTGGTTTGATTAACAACGGGTTGTTCTCATCAACAATTTTATATTTATAATTGTAGAATGATTCTGGTTTTGTTTTTCTAAATGATAAGGTTATGCCTAACTGTGCAGCAGAAATGCTGCTTCATCCGCTGTCTTTAACATGTTCTGCTCTTCCTAAAGTTACAGCTCAGCAAACAAATCCAAAAGGCAAAAAACATCTGCTTTCTGATTGGATTGTTAAATATGTGATTAATATGAGGCTGACCGATCAGATTAGAGGGAAAAAAATACAGTAAACATTGCGACTTAAGTTGAAAATTACAACATTGTTTTACGTTTTATTGTTATGCTTTGTTTCTGTAAACAGACCTTTACAAAAAAAGTTTGTAATGTGTGTAATTTTTCTTTTTTTTTTAACAAATTATATATGTTATACAGTACTTGTACATAAATCCCTATGGAGGTACAAAGATTATATTCTCTGACATTTTGGTTAACCTTGAAAACATTTAGAACCACAAATTCTAATTTACAAGCACAGCATATACAATATATGATTAAAATCTGTGCCTATACAAAAATTTCATTTCTAAATGGGTAACACTGGCATAAACATACCCAGACGACTTGCAGCTATTGTAGGGAAAGGTGGTTCAACAAAGTTTGACTTGATGTTATGTGAAAAATAGGTAAAAATTTCCTTTGTAAAATGTCTAAAAATCACTTATCTTTTTTCTTTCCTCTTCCTCTTATGCACTCTTGTGTTGTTTTATTATAATAAAATGAAATGAAAGACATTAAAGTTTTTTTTTTCATGTGAAAAGAGGTCGCTGTATAGAAAAGCTATGGGTTGATGTTCTGAAGCTCTTTATGATATAACTTAAAACGGCTCTTATTTATGTTTCTAAATTAAAGGAGAAGTTCGGTTTTTTACACTTTAAGCCCATTTTCTGTAGTGTCCAGGATGAAATCGAATGATCGACACCAAAAGTTTGACAATTGCTCCTGTCTCTGCTTTTTGGCTCATTTAGAATCAACCCCTGGCTGCTTTAGAATGGCTAGCATAGAGCATGTCCGATAATGTCCTTAAAACAACCTTAAACGTTCTTTTTTTAAAATATGCTACTCACCGGGTCGTCAGCGCTGTTCAATGACGTTCCAAAAAAAGTTTTGTGAAGAAAAAACGTTCCTGTAGTGTTTTATTTAGCATTTTGTAAATCCCATTGAGTTCTGTTGGAATAGTCAATATTCCCCTGCCACCGGAAACGGAAATGGGGCCTGTTTACACAGTTGTAGTCTTTTCGCTTCACTCTGTGTACTCCGACGTCGAGAATCAAGAATCCACCTTTCGTATTCCATTTTCAGAGTTTTTTAAAGTGTTTAACAGAGACGTTAGCACCTCGACGTCGGAGTACACAGAGTAAAGCGAAAAGACTACAACTGTGTAAACAGGCCCCATTTCCGTTTCCGGTGGCAGCGGAAAATTGACTATTCCTACAGAACTCAATGGGATTTACAAAATGCTAAATAAAACACTACAGGAACGTTTTTTCTTTACGAAACTTTTTTTGGAACGTCATTGAACAGCGCTGACGACCCGGTGAGTAGCATATTTTAAAAAAAGAACGTTTAAGGTTGTTTTAAGGACATTATCGGACATGCTCTATGCTAGCCATTCTAAAGCAGCCAGGGGTTGATTCTAAATGAGCCAAAAAGCAGAGACAGGAGCAATTGTCAAACTTTTGGTGTCGATCATTCGATTTCATCCTGGACACTACAGAAAATGGGCTTAAAGTGTAAAAAGCCGAACTTCTCCTTTAAATAAAATGTATTTTCTTTAATTGTATAACATTTCAGAATAGTAGTTGGTCTGGGCAGGAGGTCCACAACTGATTCAACATTTATTAACTGACTTATTAGATGAAATGGACATTTTACTTAAGCACATTTCATTCAAAGCTAGCATATGTCCAGTGTGTCATATCTTGCAAAATCTGTGCAGAAAATGAGTCTTAACGCTAAATTCAGCAACTTCTCCAACATCTTGTTTCTTTGTCTCAGTAGGCCGTCTGGTGTGAAGAGAGAAGGAGCGAAGCGGCTGAAAGGAGAGCAGAGGGGACACAGGCGAAGCACCTGCACGCTTCCTGACGGGAAGTAAAGACGGAGCAGAAAAATAAGGAAGTTTCTGAATAAAAAAAAAGAGAGAAAACAAGAAAACAAGAAAAGCAGCAAAGCGGCGCCAAAATATTTGCACTTTTTCCTCCCTATGTCTGACATATTTCTTGCTTTTACATGTTTTTTATTTTTTATTTTGATGTGACTGATAATTCACAAAGTAAGAATGAGAATATATTTGTAAAGAGACGATAGGCTCACCACTGGAAGAGCATGTATGAGTGTTTCCTCTCCCCTGTATGTTAAGTCTGCTGTTTTGATTTGTTCAGTCCATGTTCTAATCCGAGACCTGTCCAAATAAAAGGTACGCCCCCTGTCTGATGAGCAGGCAGATCAGTAGCAAATCTTAAAGTTCGATCTAACTGTTACCTGATGAAGACCCTGAACAACTAAAAGTGGTAAATTTAGTTTGCCTTAAACATGCAACTTTAGCTAAAACGCACACATGTTCAATGAGTGTAACTACCATTTAATAAAATCCAAGAATTCCCTTATGCTGCATGGATAATTTAAGATGCATTGGATTTTTGCCACAAGAAAACATATGTTTTCCATAAATATATTATGCAAGAACAAACTAGCTGTAATTACTTAAATATACCGCCCTAAAACTACTGCAAGTCAGCTAAGCTTTCTGAAAAAAAAAAAAACTTCACAAACAGTATGTTCTCCAAAAGTATAAATAGACAAGGTCAAGAAACGAGTTTTCGGGCACACTGGAGTTATTTAGACACAGGCGCTGTAGTAGTGTAGCATATTAAAATGTTTTTTTTTTTTGTTGTTTATTTTTCTTAGACCCAACAAGTGCAATGTTAAAGCAACATACCAACCGTAAACAGGACAAATGCCATTATGAAGGGATTATTTAAATTGGAGGACTGAAATTTTTTGTGTAAGAATTAATCCACACACAACAGCTGTAATATTTCACCTACTTCCATCGTCATTTGATTAAGTTATAACATTGCTGTGTATCATTGTGATTTAAAGACAAACCGACATGCATCACAAGGAAAATGATACATGATTTTACAATAATCTAGAAATAGAAATCGGAAAAGTGTGCATGTTTGCTCTGAGCCCCACTCCCTTAATTGAATACATTGTTGAACAACCTTTTTTCTCCAATAACAGCTGCAAGTCTGTTTCAGTTAGGGAATGGTGTTTACAGGGTGATGGGGTGCGGTTTTCTTGAACATATCTTCTTTAGCTATTGTTTTAACTATTGACACTGCTTTAAATAATTTCCTTGGCCTTTATGCTGTGGTCTTTATGATGCTGATGGTTCACTTATGTTCTCTAGTGAGTCCTGAGGCCCTCAAAGCATTTTTAAATGTTAATTAGGTGACATCTTAATCAGGATCAGAATTACCTTATTAATTGCTTGCAGAAAATTATTTTCCTGCAGAGCATCCGTTTACAGAAGAGATGAATAAGATTGTAAGTAAGTAAAGCAAACCATTGGATTTTTATTCAAGAGTATAAGGGTAAAGGGGGGATGAATATAAATGCAAACCACATTTTTCAGTTTGAGAACCGTGAATCTTTTTTGCTTCCATTTCATGCTGATGCAGAACATTGTGTTGGTCCATTGCAATAAAGGAAATTGAAATTTGAGGTTGTTAAGGGTGAAAACTTTGAAACATTTAATTAATATAGCGAGACACCTGGGTTCGTTACCTTGGTGAAATTTCAGCATAATTTTTTACATGAAATTGTAATTTGTCCAGTATTAGGCTAGGTAACATCAAATGATTCCTTGTCCATTTATTGATTTACAACCTTATAAAGTAGAATTTTGAACTAATATGAACATCAGGTTTTTGAGAAATGTTCGTTTAAAAATCAAAATTGCTGATCATGGTTTACAATAATTCAAATTTATCAGCTACCTCTGGAAACTAACCCTGCCAGGTGATTGAGTCTCTTTCAGTTGGTAATGATTTAGGGTTTTCACAGGTGCAGAAATAGATTTTATATATTTGTGTTATTACTAGAGGATGAAATAAAGGTTCAGCTAACAAGGTTAGTGAATTAAAATCAATTACACCAAAAGTAAAATCTGGCATGCACAGACTTCACTTCATTTTACAAATACAAACACATTTTATCTGCAGTGATAAAGTTATAGTTTGTCCCAGAAGCAGCTAATGTCTGTGTTTGTCCTACAATCAACCAGGACCCTCAGGATCAAATCTGTCCCACTGTAGATATAAAAGCAGGAACCTATGATTGGGAAAAGAACAGATCAGGGAGGGGAAGAATCTTTCAGGAATGTCAAGTATAAAAATTCCTCTCCGCATTTGGGAACAATTGGGTTTCAAAGTTGGAGAAAAAAAATAATAAATGCCTTCACTGCTGAGTTCTGAAAGCTTGTGTATTTGTTTGAGTTGTGCTTTTTTTTCTTTTTCCCACGACTCTGCAGCGTCTAATGAACATGAAACAGAGCAGGCTTTTGTTGTAAATATGTACGATAACCTTTGTTTGACAGTTTTACTAAATCTCACTACAGTGGCATAATTTCATGTACTCCACTGTCCGCATAGCTTCTTGTAAAACACATCCTTTTCTGTCTGTTTACCTCATGTCAAACATTTGGCTTATTGAGTAACTCATTCACATTTAAATCCATGGACTGGTCTGTTTATTTTATCTCTGCTTTGCTTGTTTTACTCCTTCAGTTTGTGTCCGTCTTCATCACTGCTCACCAACAGGAATGTATACAGCATCTGGTGCTTACTTCACTACAATCATAATTCCAGTTATTTTCTAAGCTGAACTGAACCTAATGCTCCAAGAATGATAGAATAATTATCTCATCCTTCCTTGAGTCCTGTGCAATCTCTTGAATTGCCTTTCCCCCCCCCCACATCCAGGTTAGAAACACAAACCTTTTGTATTTCTGCTGAAGTGGTTCCAGACGCCAGCAGGCTGCAGATTTTTTCGAACATCCTAAACAAACCAATGAGCTAATAATCAGCATCGATGTCAATGGCATGTGTGTGTGTGTGCATGTGTGTGTTGGTTGCTGCTCTTCAACTTCAGTTTTAAAGATAACTCTCACTCAAAGCTAAAGGATAAACAAAAAAACAATTGTAAGTAAAACCCCTTTTTGGAGCTGGTCATTAAAGTTTGATTTAATGAGAAGAGGGTTAAAGCCTTACAACAGGAACAAACACCTGTTCTAGTGTGTTATCCCCAAAGTAAAAATAAAAATAATAAATACAGCGTTGGTTCAATGATGTTCATAAATTAAATATTTGTTTCTATCATGCTTTGTCAGGACAGTGGAAAGAGGTTTAGAGATAATGGACTGCAGCAGTCGGAGGATGAAGCGAAACACTTCCTCCTAGTGGAGAGGATGGGCAACTGCACTCCTAAAACAACGTACAATTTCTAATATTCTTGCAAAGTTTCTTTCTTTTCTTTTTCACATTTGAATCCCAGTTTCTCGGTTATAACAAAAACCCTAATTATGTTTTTTTAAACAGTTACACATTTTTCCTACTTTACCAGTTTTTAAAATACCCTTACTCATTTAAATTAGTTGAATTACATCTAACTTTAACATTTATTTCCTAATTTAGGTAGCTAAACCATGTTTAAAAAGAGGAGACATAAAATCTGATTTGTGATGAGGTTAATAAACAAGTGAAATAGTAATAGTGGAATTATTTTGAACATGTGTCATGGACATATTTGTAATAACAACCATAGTTCAGAGGGGCTGTTTATTGAATTGACAATGTTTGTCCTGTGGAGAAGAAGCAAAGCTCTAAAATATGTTAGCATGCTTCGAAACTTGAATTTAGGATGAATTCTAGTGTTAAATGAGCTAAAGATGGATAAAATAAATCAATAAATTCCTGTTCCAACAGTGATTTATTTATGTCCTTACTGTTCTCTGCTGAATTCTAAACATTACAAATGATGCTAAAAGTTTCCTCAATCATCATTTTTGAGATGTATTTTTTTATATAATCATTTTGAACATTTCTTCTCTAATTCCAGTAGGAATACATATAGTAGCTAATAGATTACAAAATACAAATAATACATATGTATTAAGAAAAAAACCCAGAAAAAAAACAAACTTTATCCATTTTCACTAGGCTCTTTATAACAAAATTCTAAAAAAACAAAAATGCAAACATTTACCGACAACATACTGACTTATATACTTTGAATAAGCCATAGCTGCTTTTAATCTCTCTGCTTTGCTACTATGAATTCCCATAAAACCCTCTCTCACCCTTTTCGTAAAAATGAAATACAATAATCTGCTGGATAATTTTTAGGTTGTTTTATTAAAAAAAGCCACGAAACTTAGAAATAATGTTATAGATTGCTAACAGTAAAACATTACTCCTTTATTTATTTTAGCCTTAACTGGTCAGAAGTGGTGATTGCATTAGTAACGCTTAAAAAAAAAATCAAGAGGTTAAAAAATAAATTTCTTTTTTTCACGTATCTAATTCAGATATATATACAGATCCCACATTAAATATAAATCAGATCTAATCTTATGTTTTTTTTTTTTTTTTGTGAAGATCCAACTCACCAAATGCTGCAAAAATGATTAAAAATATAAAAACTCATAGCTTTTCTTTTTTCAGTCAGTGAGCTGTTTGAGATGTATTGTATTGTCTAAAAAGTAAAAATAGAGGCTAAAATCATTTCTAGGGTTACTATAACCTCTCTGGGATAATACCAATTGAGCAAATTCTATTTTTGACATTTATTTGTGCGTCTGATTTAGTGACGAGACTTCAAAGATGCGGATGCTGTCTGTGTGTGATGGAGCTGAGGTTGCTGTGATAAGTGTGGATTTGTGCATGGGGGGGGGGGGGGGGGGGGGAGAGATAGGCATCATAGCTGAAACTGGAGCCAGCTGCAGTACATCTGTCTTGGAATGACACATGTGGCATTTGACTTCTAGTGTGAGGTTCAAAAGAGTTTTATAATGACCCAGCTGTTTAAGACTGTTTGTTTCAGTGGGAGTGGTTTTGTGGGGGGTAGCTTTTCTTGAGAATGGGTAGAGTGTAGGTGGGTTGCCGTCGGGTTTCACAATTGACGGATGGATCAGAGCGTAGAGAGGGGTGTGTGGGCAGTCCAGGTGCAGGATGATGTTTTAGGGAAATTTAATTGTTTGTTAGCTTACAAACACTGACCACACCAGCAAAAAAACAGGTCTGCAGTTATATATCAGCACTGAACAACTATAAAATAAATTTATGTCTGTATGATTATAAAAATTGCTCCACTTGCTTGTCCTTTTACGATTTTAACACCATTTTCAGCTTCATACCACAAATTAGTATTTGATCAGAAATCGTATGGTAGACCTACAGTTTTGTATTAAAACTAATAATGTGATAACTGTGAATAAACTTAAACTGTGCCCCCTTTCCATTAATATCCCTAAATAAAACTTCATGAGAGTGTTAATCACAGAAGCATGCAGATAACTCAGAAAGAGCTGCAGAGAGTTTCAGCTAAGTGGGAGAATCTGTTTAGGAACAGCCTGTGTTTCTGCTGCGTACTCACAAAATCTGGCTTTGAGAAGTGACTAGAAAGTCAAAAAAAAAAAAAAATCTTTTAATGTTTGCCTCTGGCCGTGTAGTGGAAAAATCTCAGAAAAAAAAAAGAAAAAGCAGATTAATCTGATGAGACAGATACAGTACAACATTCTGTGTCCATGACACAGCTAAGCATGGTGGAGGCAGCATAATATTGGATGCTCTTTATCAGCAAGTAAATTGAAGCTGATTAGAGTTTTAGGTTATCTTAAAATGGAGACACATTTATAGAATCATGTGAGAAAACCTGTTAAAAGCTGCAAAAGACTTGAGACATCAAGCAGGTTAAGACCACTGAATAATCTGGATGTGCAGGTGCTAAACAGCCCAAATAATCTGTGGCTGTAGAGTAAAAATTATTTTAATGGAATATCTAAAAAACAATGATTCACCATGTATAGGATATTCTAGGATAAAATATAAAAACCTGTAACATACATTAAAGTTTGTGGGTTAATGTTGCAAAATAGGCTTTGAATGCTCACAATGTGCTCTTACTGAACAAGACTCAATAAACTGGTTTCAACAAGTATAACAACATGGCAAACTATGAAAAGGATAAAAAGCTATAAATAAACAATTTGTTCCTTTTAACATGGTTTAGAATTTAGTGTTCATTCCAAATAGGCTCCACCAACTCCCCAGATGTTCTGGTAGGGATGAGCAGAACTGCTTCATAATTTCCTGTCTTTTTTTTTTTCTTCTCTTTTTGTGCATTGAAACACTTAGAAACAGATGAAGAACCCTATTACAGGTAATTGAGAGAGAGCCATTAGTTTGTACTGTGTTTAGGGTGTGGGAGGGTGAGTGGTGGGCTATGCACTGCTAAAAATCGGTGTCTGGTGCCCTCTGCGCCCCTTTTGACTGCAGCACCTGGCCAGCTGTCGGAGCGCCAGGGGTCATGGCGAGGATCCAGGGTCGCCTACCAGGAGGCCAGTACCAAGGGGTGAAAGGTCACATTCCAGACAGGCGTATCCATTAGCTGATTACAGACTCAGCTGCAGGAAAAGAGTCTGCAGGTGGATGATGGATTAAACCACATAATGAAAAGTACTCCTCTTTCTTTTTTTTAATTAAAAATATAAAACTCTTTACAGATTTAACTCAAATGATTAATTCTTACATCATTACTCAAGAGACTTTCCAAAGTCTAAAATGTGCACTATATCTTATTTAAAAAAAAATAAAATATAAAAATTTAATTATTAATTATTATTATTTTTTTTTAGCAAATGCAAAAACGTGAAAAAAAAAATTAGATTGAATATGTCAAAAGTCTTAATGGGTCTATAGAAAAACTTGCAAATCATATAAACTAAACTCACATTGGCAACAAAAGTGTGAATATTTACCAGTGAGAAGTGAATCAAAAAGAAACCCCAATACAGAAAGTGGCACAAACGAAAACCAAGGTGGAAAAATAAGCCTAGTCAGGTAACTGATGCATGACAAAAAAAAAAAAATTATATATATCTATATATATATCTATATATCTATATATATATATATATATATATATATCTATCTATATATATATATATATATATATATATATATATATATATATATATATATATATATATATATATAGATATATATATATATATATATATATACTAAGAATAATCACACAAAGGAAAAAAATAAAGGCAAAGAAAATCTGAAAGCAACTTTTTTAACAAAAGCTGCTTTCGAAGGAATATATATTTTATTAAATATTCTATATAAAAAAAATAAAGAAGCCCCACAGATTAGAAAAACCTAGAAAATATATAAATCTCACAAATGCAAAGTATTCAATTGCTGTTTAAATGTCAGAAAAATTAACATCTTCTCACAAAAATTTTCACAATTACACTTGTAAATGGTTTATGCTGATCCTCTTATTTTGAACTTTATCAGGAGTTTTGTATAGCAGCAGAGAAGTAGAAAAATAGATACAAAGTCAGTAATGGACCGGCTAAAATATCTGCCTGCTGTTATCATTTCTAAAAATATAATCAAGACCCTTGGTTACATTTTTAAGGCAGATTATTTACACTATCAATGACACAATTAACATTACAACCTAAAGAAATTTAAAGCATTAAAAAAAATTGGAGGAATAATATGTAGAATTATTATAACAAGAAAAGTAGATAGCCTTTAGATGTGGATTTTGTAGCCTAATCTGGTTATTATTGGGTTATACTGAAATATGTTTGATTAACTAAAGTATTTAACTGTGACAAAGCAAAAAATAAAACAAATTGCTGCTATGACAGAAGTCCATTCAATATAAGAATATAAGAAGATGGGTATTCACAAATCACAGGCTAAATGTTATTGTTAGAGGGTAACAAATCTCCAAGCATGCTGTACAGAGCAGTTTGCAAGGTATAACAAATGCAACCAATGCATTTCTATTTAATTTGACCAATATTTTAAATGCTCTAAGAATTGCAACAAACAGCCTGACCTCACCCGCACAAGCCCAAACACACCTTACCCTAATGGCTATTTCTCTCCCTTTAAAATGCCTCCTCTGTGCTTCAAGTTCATTTTCAGCTCAGACCAAAGCTGCTCGTTTTGATGCAGACAAACAGATCCTCTGTCAGCTGGAAAGCAGAAGAGGCCCTCCTGAACCGCTTTACCAGGTCGGCTCCAAATACATCGGCTGGGTGTGACTTTGTAAATGTACAGGCTGGTCCAAAACGTCTGTGCTCCAATGTTCTGTCATTTCTGAAGCTCAGGGAAAAAGAACGGATTACTTCCCTATTTTGACAGTTATGAAAAGTTTTTAAACATTATTTCTTTATGCAATTTGGACAAAAATTAGATCTTGTTCATCAGTTACAATATTGTTACAGAAAGATTATCTTTGGTCTTCAGGGTTAAACAAGAGATTTTTTTCTATCCACCATCCAGGTAAGTTTGCTAAAGATAATGTGTAATTCTTCAAGTAAATTTTTATGTACTTAGATTACAATATAGATAAAATCTGATTAGAGTGTTTAATATTTTTAAGTAAAAGATAAATCAGTGCTTAGTAAGTTTTTTTCTTATTTCTTAAGTTGATTTACTGACATATAATAACATGAAAAAAAAAATCAACTACTTGATATCAGATCACGAGTCACATCTTCTGCTGTTATCTTTTGTCTTTTATTTGCTTACATTTAATGAAATCTTTTTTTTCTAGATAAAGAAGCTTAGATTGAAGAAGAAGTTGAAAGAAATTATAAATATTTTAATTTTTTGGGATTGTGAATTTCTTTTTCCCCTTATATGAATCAATGCTTCGTAGAGCAACAGCTGTACATCTTTAGGTATATACTGTAGCTTTGCACGTCTAAATACATCTCAGTCAGATTTGCTGAAGGCTGTCTGTGAGATGCCAAAGTCTAGGACCATATTTAGGTATAAACCATTTTGATACATGAATATGGTGTAAACTAAATAGTGTCCTAATAGTGTCTATGGGCTGGCATGATATTCAGGTTGGTTGTCCTGTGGGAAGGCGACCCCAGTAGAAAAAAAAAATGTAACCCATAAAAGGTCTATTTACAGAAGAGAATAAGGCCAGTAAAAAAAATAAAAAAGTCAACTGATTTTTAGATTTTATTTCAGTATAATATGAGAAAAAATCTCAGAATTCTGACTTTTTTCTCAGAATTCTGAATTTTTTGTCAGAACTCTGACTTTCTTCTCAAAAAAAAGTTTACAGATTTTTTTATTTTATTTCTGTTTGGGGAAAAAAAGTCAGAATTATGAGATTAAAGTCAGAAATCTGAGAAAAAAGTCAGAATTGGGAGATTAAAGTCAGAATTGTGAGAAAAAAGTCAGAGTCCTGAGATCAATAGTTACCCAAAAACTTAAATCATCCCAGAGTACAATGCTGCCACCACCATATTTCCCTGTAGGAAGGATATGAAAATAAGCAAGCAAGTCTAAATTCAAACATACACTGCTTTATATTACTGTTTGTAAAACATTTTGATAACAAACAATAAGATTTCCCAGAGGTTTATAATATTTCTTTAAACATATTTGTTTGTCACATAAATCCCATAAACATTTTTTCATCTGCTTTAGGGATCTGGCCAGACATTTTAACCAAAAACTGTACAATATGATGCAGATATATAAAAAAAAAACAGATTTCAAAAACCAAATCCTAAAAAAAAAAAAAAAAAAAAAAAAAAAGAAAAAGAAAAAAAACCCGAAAAAACTTTAAAACCTTGCAAGACTAGGAAAGCACTTGGAGAGCCCAGACTTCCGCCATGTTGCAATTCTTGCCCTAAATTGTGACTTACACCTACAGTAGCTAAAACAGTAGCATGCACCTGTGGTAAAAATGTCCATAAAATGTGTTCATAAGTATCCAATTGATCCTACCAACATTCTTTTTTCAGTTTTTTTCTTTTTTTTTTTTTTTAAATCTTTTTTTTTAAATCTTTAGTAAAATTAATTATCTGGACTTTTTGAGTCCAATGCAGAGGCTGGTAATAATCAGTGCTGCCACCCTCTGTTTTAGTGGGGAACTGCTTGTTCTGCCAAATATCCTGTTCTCACAATGTTGGAGAATCTTTACAAAGTAAACTTATCCAGATTATTATCTGGATCATCACCAACATTTAATATATTATTCCTTTGCATGAGGGAAACCTCTGATAAAAATCGTATTAGAATACGTCAATAACTTTTCAAGTTATCCTCTACAGACAGTAAGACAGACACAATCATCTCCTAAAACAACCTGCTTGGCATTTTGATTATTAAAAATTGTAGATAAAATCCTTTGCATTATTTTACTTTCAGAAAACCAAGACCAGAAGGCAATAAATGCACCTGCTTTCCAGGAGAGATTGTTCATTTTACCTTACAGATGACGTCCAAAGAGGTTTGCTTGATATGCTTCTTTAACTTAAATACATGTTATGAATTAAGCGTTTTTAGCTTTTGCCGCCTGACTTTTACAAAACCACACTGAATACTCTTCCAAATGCTAAATGAGGAAAACTTGCTAATAGTTAAAAACTCGTACTGTTCACAAACTGGCCTTGTTGAGTTGTGTATCTGAGTGATAATTTTTTTTCGAAATATGGGTTGATATCATTGTTTTAAATTTATATTTTCAAAAAAATCTAGAATGAAAAATTATTAAGAATGAAAAAATATATTTAACAGCTGCATGATAAGAAATTATTAAAGATTTACAGTTTTACAATGTTTTTTGTTTCAGAGCCATTTTACAGCAACACTTCTGACCTCCATCCTGGGAGCTGTACTCGGCCCGCTGCAGATTGGCTACCATACTGGCAACATTAACGCACCAGCTAAGGTAACTGACCTGCCTCCAAATCTAACCTCCAGACCCATTCATTCAAAAATAAATGTCCCTTTTTGTACTTTGATATTTCATTTTAAACTGTTTGTATCTGTCTTTGTATTATGGTGTTTTCTATTTTTTTATTATCTGCAAAACACTTTGGACAACACCAGCTTTGTTGGAAACTGTTTTATAAATAAAGTGTATTAGACTGATTGATCACTCCTTAAACAAACCCTTGGGATCTCCACAAATTTTCAGTAAAGACCACCTTAGTTAGACAACACCAGCTATTATACTCCTGCTTTTTTTGTGTTAAATCAATAAAAATGATAACTGCTTTGTTCCCACTAAATTAAAACCCATTCATCATTGACAAAAAAAAATAAATAAATAGAAAAATAAACTTGATTGCCTATCCAAGAGCAGAATAACACAATCGCTATACTTTTTTAGATTGTCAAGGTTGTTTGGTTGTTTAACTATTTATTTAATGCCAAACAGGTATCATTATTTCTTTCCTCCTGTATCTTATTTTTAGAATATTCTTTATAAATGTGATTTTTTTTTTTTTTTGCATAAGTCTGGCAAAAAAATGGCAATGAGCCCTAGAAAAAAACAAGATGGTCAGACAGTGGTCGCCTAGGTCTTGGAAATCTAAAAAAAAATAAATAAATAGATCAAATGGACAGCAGGAGGAAATCAAAGAAAGACAACACAGGATTGTGAATCTAGCAATATCCTAAAAGCTCTATGGCTCAGCTCCACAGGTTGCTCCCCCAGTTGGCAGATTTCTCTCTCCATCCATACATTTTCTGTCACACTTTATCCCAAGCGGGGTCACAAGGGGTGCTGGTGCTTATCTCCACCCGTCTATGGGCGAGAGGCGGGGTACGTCCTAGACAGGTCGCCAGTCCATCACAGGGCAAATTTTCTATCTACTAAACATAAACCAAGCAATCTTTGTAAAGCACATAACTTAACCTTTTGACCAAACTGGAAAATCCACCTTACCAGAAGGTTTCCTGCCTTAGTGGAAGGCAGTAGGACATTAGATTGCTAATGTTCTACTGTCTACTGATATATAGCCTCTTCTTTATCACTTATCTTTAGATCATTGAAGAGTTTTTCAACAGCACATGGCGAGCCAGACACAACCAGTCAATGACAGATCACAGCCTGACTCTACTGTGGTCACTTTCTGTCAGCATGAAGGACTTTGGAGCTTTGCTGGGGTCTCTGGGAGTTAAATACCTGGCAGATTCATACGGCAGGTGGGAATTTCAGAAAACAAAAATAAGAAGTAGCAGGATGTCTGTGGTCTAGATGAATATTTGTTTTTGTTCTCCCTATGCAGACGTAACTCCATCCTGATTGCTAACTGTCTGTCCGTGGCAGCAGCATGTATTATGTTTGCGTCTAAGGGCAGTGAATCATTTGAAGTTCTCATCCTGGGACGAATGGTGTTTGGTCTGTTCTGCGGTCTTGTGATGAGTCTCAACCCCCTTTACATCCAGGAAGTGTCCCCAACCAATCTGAGGGGAGCCTTTGCCACACTTAATCAAGTGTCATTAACCTTCGGGACCTTAATAGGGATGGTAAGGAGGGTACCACTTTTCTTTTGTTTGGGTGTCTTATCTTGTTCTTAAAAATCAGTACATGAAGGTTACATAAAGTCTTTGCTGTTTGCATCAGGTGGCTGGCCTGGAAACAACGCTGGGTACAGAGAGTAACTGGGCAATGATGCTGTCCCTGTCTCTAATCCCCGCCCTAACACAGTATCTGATCCTGCCTTTCTGCCCTGAAAGCCCTCGCTACCTCCTGATAAACCAGAGAAAGGAAAAGAAAGCAGAAGCTGGTGAGTGAGTCCCACAATATGGGCGGCTTCTTCTTCTTTAGGAATCACCGGAGATAAATTCAACTTCAGAGTTACAGAACAGCTGTTACAGGTTTCACTAGTAAAAATACCCTCACCTTTATTATTCTGCATTTTTTTGTATATGACAACCTAAAGAATTAATATATTGATAGTCTTCATGCAGTGTTTAAAATATTCATACACATTTAAGAGTATGTTGCATGCATTTGAATATTAAAAACAGCTTAAAGGGACAATAATGAGAGAGTAAGTTGAAGTTAAGGAAACCTCAGGTGTTGTTAAGTTTGCATTTGTTGTAACTTCACATGGAATACATTTTATTCACAGTAGAATCAGGAGGGAATACAAAATGGCTAACTGATTCATATTTTAATAATTTTTTTGATGACAGATTAATCTGATAACAAAACATGGTTATTAGGAGTTTTAAGTGAAGCTAAATCTATCCTTTTTAAGGATTGAGCCAATATGGTTTGGTTGGTTGCACTAACCTCAGGTTAATATTTAACTGATCACAAAATTAGTTAAAGATTATTTCAGTCTGATTCTAACTGTATTATCTGGTTGAATTGCAAACTGCCTTAAGATGACATGTGTTGTCAATTGGCACTATATAAATAAACTGAACTGAATTGAATTGAGTGATTCTTTCAGCCCTGAGGGAGATTGGGATGGATGGTGTGATTTAAATCTAAATTTTGGTTTCAATATATTAGCTTTGTCCTGCCAAACACAAGGAGAATTGATTCCTCTGTGTAAAACACACCTGAAAACTGTTTCTAGGAGGAAACAGTACCTTTTAAAGGCTAAATACAGAAATAATAATAATAATAATTATAATAATAATAATATTAATAATAATAATTTAGAAGCAGAAGTTGGCAGTTTCCCCTTATAAAATACCATAATTTTAGGAGAAAATATATCTGTGGGAATATTTTGGATGCAAGTTGCACCCTTAACAAAATAGAAGAAATCATGAGGAAAGAATATTGTGTGCAAATATTGAAGAAACAACATAAAACAATCGCCAGAAATCTAAAACTTGGATGCAAATAGGTAAACCGAAAGACTTATAATATTTAACATAAATTCAAATTGGTTGCAAAATGACTTAAGGTAAAAAAAAATCAGTATTCAGGAGTGACCATGAAAAAGGACCTAACATACAACCTAACTAGATTGAGGGTAGGTTTAGAGATTATTGTTATGAACAGAGTTTAAAAAGGCCACATCTTCCACAATTTATAGAGCCATATTGTTTTAGAATCTTACTGACCTAAGACAGAAAAAAAACAAACAACAAAAAAACATTTAGTCTAATTTAACTCGAGGCAGCAATGAAAATTATTTATTTAAGCATCTGGTTCACTTATATGTGACCTCCACTAATTACAAAACAAACTCTCTGTAACCCCAATCCTTCCTATTTTAAATGTAATAATCAATGCAAGTGGCTGCATGGTGAAAATGGTGCATTATTGCAAGACAAATTTAAATCCCTGCTTGGGGTCTTTCTGTGTGGAGTTTACATGTTCTACCTGTGCATGAATTGGTTATCTCTGATTACTCCACCCACAGTCCAAAAATATGCATGATGGGTTAAATATTTCCTTTCTAAGGCGTAGCTCATCCTCTCTTGGTAAGATCACTGGAGACAGAAACCTCTGTATTACTAATAAAGAAGCAGATATTGCTGACCAGGGTTTTAAAGCTGCCCTTAAATAATTTTGTTCTAATCATGATATTTCAAATGGTAATAGTTTTCTATGTCAAAGCAAGTTAAAAATTATTTCAAACTGCAAAGAGGAATTTTAAAAACCCAACAGCTACTTGTTAGACACCACAGAAACCATGTTAAATATCTAATAGAACTGTTAGAAAAAGCCTGAACAAGTAATGCTTGTTTGTAATGTTTGCCAGAAGCTGCCATTGGATCAAATAAACTGTGAAAAAAATCTACACCAGAGTGAATTAAGATGATTTAATGACATGATGTACTATCTTTATTATGTTGAAAATTGTTAAACTTAGCTAAATGGTTTTTTTTTTTTTTTGCTCTTTGACAGACGTTAATTTATTGGACTTAGGTTGTTTTAATAGAAACTTAAAACTATCAAAAGACAAAAATGCAACTAAAATTAGATTGAGTTGAATGTTTGGTGTTAAATTCCATAAGATCTCTGATATATCTTCATCCTTAAGCCCTGCTGAGACTGAGAGGTCATCCTGACAAAGTGTCCCGTGAGCTGGAAGAAATAAAGGAGGAGGCTGCACACACACAGACTGGCGTCACCATCCGCGATTTCCTCCATAAACGGAGCTACAGGAAACCAATCCTTATTGTTCTCCTCATTAACATAGGAAGCCAGCTTTCTGGATTCAATGCAGTAAGTCACCATGGAAAACACCTATTCCTAACTTTCAGAGATTATACTCAAAAATATTATATTTCATAAAAGGCAACAGTTACCAGAAAATAGGATTTTACCTGCTTTATTTGGTCTTGAAATTAATATGATTTATCTTTTCTTTTTTCCCCCAGATTATCAACTACTCTACTAAGATGTTTCAGGCCAACTTTGATGAGGCCAAATATCTGACTCTAGGGGTGGGAGCTGTCAATCTCATCTTCACTTTAGTTGCTGTGAGTACAAATTGACTCCAAACGTAGTGAAATTACTCCAACATACCTGAGAAATAAGCCACAATGCTACCTGAGCACATATGGACTAGTAACATCTAAGTTTGGGATAAACTGACTTGTTATTTGGGGTTTCAGGAAAATAAATAAATAAATGCATCCTATTGAATATTGCAATATTTCACCATACAATATTTGTGGACCTGTCCAGGCTGTTCCTCTCTCCTATAGATTGCCTGAGACACCGGCTTAACTACCGACCCTGACAAGGACTAAGATTCAGCCTACTTGTTATCACCACCATATATTATTTTGAAGATTTAATTTCTGCAATGAAATGCAGAAACTTGTATGACGTCAAGCAGAAAAGCCTGGCTGAATCAAAACAAACATGGCTGCACTGGTGTTACTATGTAGAATCTGGTATTCAATCTGCATTAGCTGGAATATCCGCTTTCCTTTTTTCAAAGCGAGCAAAACAATGTGAGTTGTACCTTTGTGGATAGAATTTTGGTTTTTTGCGTGTTCTTCCTGACTGGATTTGATCAGAGTTTGATTTTTCAGTAAACTCTGCTGGTTGTGAAACCAATCAAGGATGTGATACATCACTGCTGCAAGTGCTGCTGCAATGGGCGACATGAGAGCCAGATGCCATTTGGTGATTTACCCAATCAGCTTAAAAAATGTTACTACCTTTTTTGCGAAGACTTTCCACAGGAGCCTTTCCAGATTGATACTGTGGAGAATTCAAATTGAACTATATGTATAAATCTGGCTTATGACAGGTGTACTGAATACTACTCATAACAAATATATTAAAATACTTTTAACATCATATATCCACACAGCCAGCTCGGTTGAATCTCTGTACATGATGGTCTTGAGTTTTTTGTATTTAATGTTCTACATAAACTGTCTCCAGTTAATCACACGCAGTCCAGTTTCATACAGTATCTCCTCAATTTGATAATTATGATTGGCTGAATAAAAATCAATAATTAAATTGACCCATATTAAAACCAATGGACCCAGATCCCCATATTGTGCTTATATGAAAAAAGCTGACATTTACTGCTGCACACTCCAACATAAACTTTCATGCCTGATCTTTAACTTAAATTGAGATCAGAGCAGATCCTGTCTTTTGTTTTCCATTTTAATATACTAGGAAGTCATTACGAAGTAATGCAAAGCATGACAAGTTTTGTTAACATGTATTTGGTTAATGAGAATTACTGTTCTTATTTATCTACAGCTCTTCTATGTGGAGAGGGCAGGAAGGAGGAAGTTGCTGCTGATTGGCTTCCTCTCCATAGGACTGTGCAATTTACTTATGACCATCATTGATTCTGTTCTGGTAAGTCTATTCTAGTTTGATTACTTGTGTGCTTGTTTAAGCACACCATTAAAATAAAACACTGACTAGGTTAGGTTTTAATGAAAAAAAAAAAAAAACTTTCCCTGAAACACTGGATGTCCATGGGCAACTTTTGTTTTGCTACCGAAGACTGATCTGCCTGTGATTTGAATAAACACAGATATTTAAGAAAAGTCTTCAGTTGTCTAATTGTTAGCTTTTGTCTCTAGAACAGCTCATTTCTGAACTTTGAACGTCCTCAGACATATGATTGGTTATTTAAGGTTTGCCAGTAGGCTACTTTTTATTTATTTATCCTGAAAGAAAAGGTTAAAATTTGAAGTAAACAGGTTGTGAACTCTGGATTTTTGGGCTCGGCTCAACAAAAAGTCAGCTTTTCAGATATTAATTGATACTATTGATAATACTGATGTGTGAGCCTTACAAAATGAAAATGTTAAGAAGACCAAATGACAAACACACTTGTTTTTGAAATAAATCCAGCATTCCTCAACACTTAGATTCTTTAATATTGAACATAAACCCAAGCTGCAGTATTGAGCAAGGGTCACTAGTAGCAGCCTTGTTTATGCTATTCCTCATATCCGCTGCCATATAGTCACCTTTACATATGACTGCTGCTCCAATAGAGACAATCATGCATTGTAATAACTAGTTATGTGGGATTAAAAAGAAAAAATATGAGAGTAAGAGAGGAGAGGAAAAAGTGGCTCCTAATCAGGGCTTGGAAAATCGTTCATTTGAAAGATCTGATTCATTCTTAAATAAAACACCAGCAGCGCAGTCTGTAGGTCCAATTCAAATCAATCCTAAACAGCAGTATTGGTTTGTCAATCTGAGCCCAAACCAACCTTTATCACATTTAAAGACCAGTTAGAATACAATAGAAATTTGTGTGTGAGAGTGACAAAAGCATACAGCCAAAGATTTTCCTTTTATTTATATATATATATATATATATATATATATATATATATATATATATATATATATATATATATATATATATATATATATATATATATATATATATATATATATATATATATATATATATATATATATATATATATATATTCCTATTGTCCAAGTGTGGACCCATATCCATGTCCAGCCAACAAAACCTGGCTAGGCTATTGCACATCATAGCATAACGGAACGATTGTTTGTGCTTGTCGAGTGACTTTAAGTGGTGGCCTAGTGGTTAGAGCATTGCATTTGGATCCCAGAGGTTCTGAGTCCAAGCCTCACTCCCACGGACTGCCACTCAGGGTCCCTGAGCAAGACCCTTAACCTCCACACTGCTCCCAAGGCGCTGCACAATCGCAGCCCACTGCTCTGCAAAGGGATGGGTTAAATGCAGAGAGTACTTGTGACAATGTAATATAATAAAGTAGAAATCTATTCTATTCTACAAAACTAAATCCAAGCCATCTGTCACTTCTAGCGTAACATTTACTTCTATTGCACAGCACCTGGTTCCAGAGCTACGGAACCTGCAGGTCCTGCTGGTGTTCTGTGTGGTATCGGCTTACGAACTGGGTCCTGGTCCCATCTCCTGGTTCATTGCTGCCGAACTGTTCGACCAGCCTGGAAGACCTATAGCCATGGCCTTCACCAGCATGGTCAACTGGGGAGGAAAGTTTTTGCTTGCGCTTCTCTTTCCTCCTTTACTGGTAAGTTAAACATCCAGGAGGACCTAACCAGACTAAAGAGAGCTGAATGTCTTGGACTTTATTTTATATATTCCACCTTCCACAGTCAAACACAGTCTATCAACATGTTCAGTCTGTTTATACTAAACACATACTGAAGTTCAGCCTGTATTTGAGAGCTTAGAATAAAACAATTTACTTATTGAATCAGATGTTTTATAGCTTTTTTAAGTTTTATGATGTTAAATCCTTCAAGACCCATTAAGTTATTTAAAGTTGTAATCAAACTCAATAAATGCAGTAACAATGTCATTTTTTTTTGCAATTTCTTACAGAAGCTCTGTGGGTCATACGTCTACTTGATTTTTATGGCCGTGGCTCTGCTCGCCTTCGCCTTCATGTGGCTCCGCCTCCCAGAGACAAAAGGCCGTACGTTTGATGACATTGCAGAGGAGTTCAGAGGAGCAGAAGGAATCCCACTTCACAACAGCAGCGGGTTCAACACTTTTACCTGAAGAGCCACTCATTTATTCTCCATGATGATCCAGGAAAAACCGATAGAATTTTAGCTCAGCCTGCCAAAATAAGAAATGTTTCTCATATGTTAATAGAATTTTATAGAATTAATTTTAATTTATTCATGTTTTGGATATTCTATGGAGGTTCACCACACCTCAAAAAAAGCTCCTTTTCATCAAATATCAAATTTTCACTTAAAGGGATAGTTCGGTATTTTTGACATGAATCTGTATGGCATCCCGATCACCAGCGGCATGCAATCACACTGACTTACCCCTGGCAGCGTCCTGTGAGCAGAGTTATCGTCCAGTTTTGGTCAAGCCGAAAGTAGTCCTGCAGGTTTTTAGGAACAGCGAAATAAAACTTTTCTCTTCCCAAAACATTATGTGTCCAAAAGAGTGATATTTTCGCATCCCAAAAACATTGTAGTGGAAAAAGTCACACGTCGTTATCAATTGGTCCTATTTTCTCTCTGTTCGTATCAGTGCGCGCCGTCATTCAGACAGCGAGCCCAACAACAGCCATGTCTCCCTCCGCCGCGGAAGGAGACATGGCTGTGGCATTGTTTTAAAAATCAATGCCACATGTTCTGCCAATCTTTATGTCTATTGAAGTTCTTATTATTACCTCACCAAAGATATTTTTCCTTGACATTTATAACAGGAGCCTCTGCAGGACAAGTAGTAATATCCTGCTCCTATATGAGATTACCTGGGCTGAGAAAGCTTTTGTAATGTTCTCATCCAATGCAGTTAACATACAACGTCTTGCTTGTTTTTCAAAACATTTATCATATCCCTTATTCAATACATACAAGGGAGTCACTTAAAGTCATCTCATTTATTTGAATGCCTGCCAGTTTCCAGTCACTTTCCATTCAAATGCTATTCAGGTACTATTCATTAATGAATTAATATGTGTGTTCTTGAATTGAAAGGGACATCAACTCTTCAAACTTCACTGCACTGTGTGTGGATTCTTGAGACCTGATGTGACTTGATGCACAAAACAATTTTTTACAAGCTTTGATTTAGATAACTCCATTGTTTGAGCTAATCACAAGAACGAACATACTGTAGGCAAAGATTTTATTATAATAAAATAAAAGTAGGACCTTACATCTCCTGCTGTTAGCTTTCTTTCCAGGGTGGGGTACTCTGTCTTGTTCAACCATAGTTAGAAAACATAAATAAAAATGCATGAAGGTATCCATGAAGGTTAACTTGATCACAAACATGTCAGTAGGGGGAACCAAAGTACTATTTTTATCCATAAAAGTGTTGTTTAAAGGGTGATATTCCACAGACTCTCCAACATGTTTTCTGTGTAACTTTTTAATTAGACTGACACCGTCTCTCTAAAATGATATGGTTACCTCTTTCTATGCCAGAAAACAGAATCTTTACAACTTCCACTGACGTAGTACTCCACATGAGGACTCTTATTCTAAGATTTTCTTTCTATAAAGTTAGCATAATTTTGATAGACGTGATGTTAACAATGTTCTATTTCTTTGTGAAAGCCAAGGGGACAACACAACAATAGACTGTAGCCATACCAAACGTTCTTCTCGTTAGATGAATGGGAAAGGCCTGGAGTTAAACGAATCGTATTTGCCAGAAAAGCTTAAAAGGAAGATGACTGGTGATTCAAGATGACTGGTGATTGAAAGTACTAAGATTTTCATTAACTAAATAAATGTCTTTAGTTGGTCAAGTGGATTGTTTACTGAGACGAATCTGGAATATACTGTAATTGCTCAAATATTTGTGAGAAAAAAAACTTAATCACATGCATATTTACCAGCCATACAACCAAGAGCTTTTGTTCTCCTTTAGAGTCTGGGTCTCACCACAAAGAATTTAACAAACCCCACCTGCAGCAGTCTTCCTCTAAATGTGTCAGTTATGGGTTTGATTATGACGCTGAGATATTACAAACTACAGTTTGAAATATATATAATGGGGGAAAACTAAGTAATAAAAGTAATAACGTTCTAAATCCACTTGTCAAGTGTTTTATGTCTTGTTAACATAATATGTTAAATGAATAAAATTGTAGCAGTAGACCCAGATTTCTTGTTTCTTTTAACTATACCTACTAAGACACAGTGATACAGAAGTTTTTTTTAACACCTCCCACTGTCAGTGGGTTTAATACTGATGCTGCTGCTATACAAACAGGACCTGAATTTAGATTTAGCCTAACCGGATCACATCTCCGATTCTTCAACATGATCTTTATCGTCTGCTTCTTTATTTTTTCACTTACACCTGAAATTTACGGTAAGAGAAACACATTTTTTTTTTATATTACAACAATACAGTTTGTAAAAGTTCCTCCATTTGAAAGAGTTTTCTGCTTCCCCACAGGCACTTCTGACTCCAAACAAGTTGACCAAACCCCTCCTTTCATTTTTAAGGAACCTGGCCAGTCTGTGGATGGAGAAATCATATGTTCACACAACATACCAAATTATGCGGTCATTCTATGGTACAAACAAGACCAGCACAAAGCTCTGAAGCTCTTGGGATATATAAATCTGAGATATCCTAGTGTTGAGGAAGCTGTTAAAAGAAAAATCAACTTTAATGGAGATGGCAGCAAACAATCCAGTCTCAACATATCTGATCTTACATTGAGTGACAACGCAGTGTATTTCTGTGAACAAACTAAGATAATCTCAGCAGTATCATCCTGTAGTCAGCAGAAGAATACATTATTTACATGCAATAGATGAAACATATTTGAATCTACTTTTGCAGTTTACATATATGCAGTACAAGTCACCTTAGATTTGAAACCAAAATCTAAAAAATGTAAATAAATTCCTAAATATGTGAAAAAGAAACTAACGACTACAGTAAATGATGAGTGTGTTTTCTCATTTGAACTGTTTTAAAGTCCTAATAAAGTCTTTGAAATGACTAAAAGGTTTTAATAATGAAAATAAATAAAATTGTGCTTTTCATATTGTCGTTTTAATTTTTAACTAGAAAATCATTAATCACTTGGTTTTTTTTCTAATAGTATGATGAAACATATGAACAAAATCCACAAAAAAAACAACCTTCTTCAATGCAAACCTGGTATTTAGAACAAAACTTAATAGAAAAGCCATAAGAAATAAAGAGATTTCACAGCAGAAGAGAAAGTGCTGTCCTTTTTCTAAAAGTAGGTTATACAAAATATTAATGGCATCACAGCAGCATACCCGTTACTGTGACAGGAAAAATACTGCAATAAGAAACTAGTCTTAAATAAGTTACTGTAGTGAGTATTTCCACACCAATGATCGGTCTAAAAAGTTTCAATCAAGTTTTAGAGCTCATCACAGCCCTTAGAAAAGCACTGGTGAGGATCATTAATGATATGTTGAGGCATTGTGACTGTACTTGTCATTATACCAGTAAGATCTCACAGTTGCATTTGATGTAGCTGATCACAATTTATTTATAAATATTTTATTTATTTATACATAAATACTGATTAATCCCATCAACTAGATTAGTAGTTTCAATCTTCCCTATGTGCCTGGGCGAATTGGCTAATGCACACATATAATCTGGCCCTAGAATATGCTGTTTGCATGTTCAATTCAATACAGTTTAAAATCAGTTAACTTCTACTGTACCAATTCACAACACAATGAGCCAATATTTGAGTCAGGTGAATTGAGGCAAGACACAATACATTGGGCCCCCCGATAACTAAGACTTGGCAGGTCTTTAAGGCATAGAAATTTAAATTCCTTGTAAAATTTCTCTCTGAGACAAAAGTTGTGGTCTTTTTTGTCTGTGGTCTCTTTATCTCAAGAATTCCCAAATCTCACTGTGTAGGATTGCAATTTGAAAACTTAACTGATATTGTGTATTTTTATTCCAATACAGCTATAAAGCCCAAATATATTCTTTAATATGGAAATAAAACTAATATAAAACATCCATATTTGCAAATCTTCAAGTAGAAACAATATAAAACCAGTGACTCAAAGTCTTGCAAAAATCTTTTCATCACATTGTTGTTTTGCCCATTTCATAAAATATTTACCAATAATGCAAAACATCAGGTATCAATAGGGCACGTAGGAACAAAGGTGGATCTCTTTAACCATGTATTCCATTATGTAGTTTTGTTGTTGATTGGACAGCAGCTAAAAGGACCATGTCGCAAACTCAGCCCTCCCCTTTTTGAAGCGTTTGTATTTTTGTAACTAGATCAGAGAGGGGGATTTTCAAACCTCCCAGAGATGAATAGGTTCATCATAAAACAAGCTATCTTCCAATTATTGGCATCATTATTATGGAGCTCAGGTAATTAAAAATAAGTATTCGATTTAATATATCTCAGAACTGCAGTAGGCTAATGGTGTGTAACATTTTTTGTTATACTCAGGTTTTACTACTGGGAGTGATGTCACCCAGACCCCCTTTTTGTGGAAAAATATGGGTGAAAATGCAACAATAGACTGTAGCCACACCAAGGGTGACTTATACTTCCAGATGTACTGGTACAGACAGCTGCCGGGAGAAACTATGAAACTCATCGTTTTCACCACCAAAGGCCAGATCAAGCATGATTTTGGAAGCTTTAGTGAAGAGAAATTTTCAGCCACCAAAACTGTTGCTGAGAGTGGAACGTTTACAGTGAAGAACCTGGAGCCCCAAGATGAAGGAGTGTATTTCTGTGCTGTGTGTCACCACAGTGATCGAGAGAGACAGGAAAGCTTTACAAAAACCCACCAATGTGATATCAACATAGGTTGATGATCTGGACTGTAGGGGGAGTCCAAGTATCGTGTTCTTTCTCTCACAACTACAGGTTCTACACACACTTTGTTTAATATCACAGGAACCAGAATACTCTGATATTTGTGCATATAGTTTATTTTAGACAACACCATGTTTAAAAAAAACCCAAAAGATTATTCAAACCAACAAAACTTTTTCAAAATCTTAATAATCTTTTCCATCCACATCCCAGGTAGTCTTTATTTGGAATAAGCGTGTTAGAAAATGGATGGATGGATGGATGGATGGATGGATGGATGGATGGATGGAATGATGGATGGATGGATGTGAAGCTTTTCTCTCTCTGTACTATTCAGCTAAATCCAGAAGGTGGCAGCAAGTCTTCAGGAAGATTTATGAACTGCTTTTTTAGTGTTTGCTACATGAGGGCTCTATCTTAGAAACT